ACTGGGTGACATAGTGAGACCCTGTTTCAGAAAACAGAAACAAAAACACAGTTAAGGACCATCCTCCTCCTGGTTTATTAGCTTCATGGCTGGGCTATTGCATATGGTAGCTACCATTTACACATAATCATCTGAAATTAAACACAACTACGTATTTGGTCCCTTAGTTGCATTTGCTATGTAATCATATGTGTTCTGTGGCCAGTGTGTTAGACAGAGCATTCCATTGTCAGGAAGATTCATTGGAACTGTGTGGCTCTGTAGTATTGCAAGCTTCTAAGATCATATCCCCTTTAGTTTTCCTGGTCACATGTTAGTATGGTAACTGCTCGCCTGGTGTCTTATTCTAGAGCCGAAGTTCACCATGGGCAGAGTCTATGCTGCGTGTGTTGCTTCTTTCTCTGGTGTCCTCCCTTATCCTGGCTTCCTGGCTGCAGAGTCACTGGGCAGATGGGAGGACCACCTCATTCTGAGTATTCGAGAATGAAGGGTGATCTCTTCTGTGAGGGCATTTTACAGAGCTCAGCCTGTGTTTTGAAAACAGGCACAAATACACACAGTTCCCAAAACACACAAAAATGAGGGTCTACAGTTGATTGAAGATGGTCTTTAGTCACCGCCCTGTGCTGTCCTCGAAGTTTTTATAACACCTCAGGGGCCAGTAAATTTGAGACAGGCATCTTGTGGGAGCCCTACTGACACTGAGACCACCTCCATGGGCTGGGAAGGTGGGGTTCTGAGACTCTGTAACCTGTCTGTTTGTGGATAGAGTGCTCCCTTTGTTGTCAGGCTGGTCTCTGGCACAGCTGCCCTGAGTCTCTTTTGGCTCAGAACAAGCCATTTCCAAACTGAATTTATGACCGGTAGTTCAATGCCATGGTGACGCCTGTAGCTGTCCTCTGTGAGCTGCGGAGCAGACAAGGCAACCTCTGCTGGTTTAAAAAGAAACTTTGTCTCTCCCTTGGTGTGTTCTCTTAAAAAGAAAACCACACTGTTTAAATTTCAAAGATGAGCAAAAACTTACAGATGATTTAGGCGCTGTCAGCTAATTTGATCTTCACAAGAACACAAGGCAGGACAATGTTAATATCTTCATTATTGCGTATGAGAAAACATTGTCTCAGGGCCAGAAAACACAGGCAACTCCCCCAAGACTCACAGTGTCTGTGTGGGTGCTGGAATCTATGCCCATGGTCTGCCTTCATGCTCCCAACGGCCAGGCCACACTGCTGCTCACACTACAGACCAACACAGTAGGCCGGAACCCACTCTGCTGCGGAGATCTGGCTCCAAGTTGGGAACTAAGAGCCTCAGACTGGATCTCCCTGCCCTCAAGATCCTTCTGTTCTGAGGTGACATCAAGGCAGGGAACTCTGAGCCACTTCTGCCTGCTATAATACCATGGAGATGTTGGAGGAAAAGACATCCAAGCTTCTAAGCACAATGCTGGACTGGTTGACTACTTGTGGAACGAATATAGCCATCAGGGGTACTTCTCACGTGGAATTACCAGAACTGAGCTGTATAGTAACAGGCCTCCCAGACACCCATCAGCAGCCTCTGAACCCTGACTTCTTCTAGCCATGTCTTTTCCTCCAACCTCTTAGCTCCCATTGTCAATCCAGTTACACAAATACATTCATCATCTTAGACCATATAGGAAGCATGAGTTGTGAGAGATTGTGATGGGGACTATTCTTACCTGTGGGAGTTGGAGAAGCCTCTGAAAAAAGGTGGGCGCCCAAAGGCAGAGCAGGGCGAGAACAGATGGAGGAGGGGCACATCTGGAGGCCCAGGGGAAACTGGAGCTAAGCAGTGGTAAGCAAGGGACACAGAGATGCCAGCACAGTGGTCAGGGAGGGGCCTGGGGTCACTGTCAACCTGGAACACCCTTGATCTGTCCCAGTGGCAGTTGGATACCTCAAGAGTTTTAAGCAGGAATCCAGGTCTGAGGTTGGTATGCAGAGGTCAGGTGGACGCTTCCTTCATTCCCATTAAGGCACCCTCAGTGTGGTGACCATAGGCTTCTGAGAGACCAAACCACACTGTCCCTCCTCACTGCTACCTCCCTGCACTGAGAATCCTGCCCTAGTACAGAGTCATGGCGGGACTCTGAAGCTGGGGTGTGTTCTGTGGAATGAAAGGCATGTAGGGTTCTTCAAATGTTTGTGGTGGGCAATTGTTTTCAGCATTTTCTTTTTGTGGTTTTGTGAAAATGTCATCAGGCTCTTAGCTATTTGCTTCACACAGTGGGACTACAGTACATCCCAGCTAGGTCTGTACTCACACCTTCTACCATAGCTTCACACAGTGGGACTACAGTACATCCCAGCTAGGTCTGTACTCACACCTTCTACCATAGCTTCACACGGTGGGACTACAGTACATCCCAGCTAGGTCTGTACTCACACCTTCTACCATAGCTTCACACAGTGGGACTACAGTACATCCCAGCTAGGTCTGTACTCACACCTTCTACCATAGCTTCACACAGTGGGACTACAGTACATCCCAGCTAGGTCTGTACTCATACCTTCTACCATAGCTTCACACAGTGGGACTACAGTACATCCCAGCTAGGTCTGTACTCACACCTTCTACCATAGCTTCACACAGTGGGACTACAGTACATCCCAGCTAGACCTGTACTCACACCTTCTACCATAGCTTCACACAGTGGGACTACAGTACATCCCAGCTAGACCTGTACTCACACCTTCTACCATAGCTTCACACAGTGGGACTACAGTACATCCCAGCTAGGTCTGTACTCACACCTTCTACCATAGCTTCACACAGTGGGACTACAGTACATCCCAGCTAGACCTGTACTCACACCTTCTACCATAGCTTCACACAGTGGGACTACAGTACATCCCAGCTAGGTCTGTACTCACACCTTCTACCATAGCTTCACACAGTGGGACTACAGTACATCCCAGCTAGACCTGCCGCCACACCGTCTACCATCTGTGCACCTGGGGCAGTTATACTGCCATCACCAGTAGTGCCCAAAATCACAGGTGTGTTCATGATCTTGCCAGGCATCATGCCTTCAAGTCCTACTAGTGAGCTTATGGCAGCAGTACTCAAAGGGGTCATGACCCCTTTGGGGGTTTCATACCAGATATCTTGCATATCAGATATTATATTACAATTCATATCAGTAGCAAAATTACAGATATGGAGTAGCAACAAATCATTTTATGGTTGGGGGTCACCACAATATGGAGAACTGTATTAAAGGGCTGCAACATTAGGAAGGCTGAGAACCTCTGTGTCTGTCCAGGGCTCTGCTGTGGGTCCCACCCAGTCCTAGCTGGCCTCTCCAGGGGCCACAGGTTGTACTTGAGCAATTACAGCTGTTAACAGTGGTTCACTGACAAAGGGGTCTCTGGTTTGATAAGTCTGGAGGATTCATTGTCAAATACGCTTCTTAGTCTTGCTACTAATTGCTGTAGGGCACAACCGAAAAGTGTGCCAGCTCAAAACATCAGATTAGCAGGGCCAGTCCCAGTTTGTTTCAGGACTGGACTCAGCTGGGTGGTCCTTCTCCTTTTCATCTCTGATCGTTGCCGTCAGTTGACAACTGGATCACACTCATCACAAGGTGTTTTCACTCACAGTTCCTGTGCCTGGCATATTTTTTCTTCTGGTGCTTTTCACACATGCTGACCATAGTGGGAATGCTGCAGGAAGCTGCAAGAACCTAGCTGTATGGCTCAGTGACGTCTCCAGGCATCACTTTTGTAGTTTTAAACTGGTTAAATAATAAATAAATAACCAAGAGCAGTTCAGCTGTAGGCTTGATTCTGCAGCTCAGTGGGAGAAGTGGTGAATACTTTGTGGTTAGTTACCTTTAAGTCCCCGTAGGGCTTGGAGGGTCCATGTGCACAAAGGTTTAGTGAGGTGTCTGAGAATTCCGATCCTGAAGAATTCTGTTTGACTCAGTATTTCCCAAGCTGATTATCATCATTGCTGGTTTTGAAATCAGGAAATAACTTTCTTACAGACATTCACTAAGCTTATATGTATTCCCCTAGAGATCAATGATCAGGTGATAGATCTGGGGGTTCAGTGCTAATATTTAATACATAAAGCTTTCCACACAGACATTGGAGACTGAGTACTGTTGTTAGAGTTTCTTTGTCCCACCAGGTCCTGCTGCCACTTTAGCCCCAAATAAACACACAGAGACTTATTACTTATTAAACTGTTGGCCATTGGCTAGGGCTTCTTATTGGTTAGCGCCATCTTAATTATTAACCCATAACTACCAATCTATGGATTTCTACATGGCCTTATCTTACCGAGAATGCCTAGTGCATCCTATCTTCCTGGTCTCTACATGGCGTCTTTTTGCAGTCTATCTCTGCCTACTTTCCCAGAATTCTCCTCGTCTCCTAGTCCTGCCTATCTTCCTGCCCTATTGACCAAGCAGTGTTTTATTCATCAACCAATTAGAGAAACATATGTACAGAAGGACATCCCCCATTAAAGTACTGGTTTTAAAGAATTCTAAATAGTGGCCATCCCTGTAGTAGCCATCCCTGTGGGTGGAAAGGACAACTGTCTTGCAGGTTAAGTCTTTGATTTTATTCCCACAGATTCAGGCTTGGCCTGAGATTCCCCACTCCTCACAGCTGTGTGACATTGGTCCTGTCACACCTTTCTAGGTTGTGGTTCACTTAAGTTAAGGGTTCTATTTCACAGGGTAGTTGTGAAGACTGACAAGATCCCGCATGTGGATTACTTGATACAGCCTGTTTATGGTCAGTAAATGGACCTCACTGTCCTTAGGCTGTATACAGGAAGCCTTCATCAGATAGATTTGGTATCTGTTTGGTTCCTACATCTCTAGGGTTTTATACAAGATTTACCTGGGATTTACTCACTAAGGACAAGCCAATATTATAAGCCATGGGTTTCTCCCTTTTTTTTTTTTTTTTTTTTGCAAAAGTAACCTCTGTGCCTTTCCATCTTTTTGTCTCCTAATGTAGTTTCTAATAAGTGACCGTGATCCTCAATGCAACCTCCACTGCTCCAGGACTCAAGCCAAACCCATCTGCGCCTCTGATGGCAGGTCCTATGAGTCCATGTGTGAGTTCCAGAGAGCCAAGTGTCGGGACCCAGCCCTGGGCGTGGTCCATCGAGGTCGATGCAAAGGTGAGTGACCCACACTCAGCCAGCAGAGGCTTCTGGGACCTCAGCTCCTGCACAGTGATGGCCTCATTGGAACGTGAATGCTTTTGGCTTGCTCTTCTATCCCTCTATGACTTCCATCAGTGTGGAGGAAGGAAGAGGGCAGGGAAGCAAGGGGCTGTCTGGCCAGTGCCTTGTTTGTGGTTTTGTTTCAAAATGGAGGCATGGTACAGTACTGCTGGCCCTGGAATAGGGATTTCAAAATGGCGGTTCACGGAAATGTTTTTGCTTGATCTGCTTTAAAATATGAGAACTATTTGAGATAACATTTGAAATTTGGGAGATTCAACCACAACAAATCTGACTTTCTGTTCCTCTCTTCCAAAATCATCAGGTTTGCTTGAGCAAAACGACACATAGCCAGAGCTGAGGAACTTCCAGTCCCTAAAGCAGAGCTTGCTTTCTGGTTTGCTACATTCCCCAATCCTCCTTCTGACTTCTGAGCACTGAGTATGGGTCTTCTTAGACATAATCAGTGTTGCTTTCCTGAGTCCTGTAGATAGATGAGCCTGTGACCCTCAATTGCCCAAAGCCATCACAGGAAATGCAGGAGGCTAGCAGGCTGTCCCAGATATTTGGTTTCTCAAGAAAGCCCTAGCATTGTATGTAGCCCTGGCCAGCCTGGCACTCACTCACTATGTAGCCCAGGTTGACTACAGGCTTTCCCTTAGCACCTTACTAGGACTGGCATTAAAGACGTGCACCATCACTCTCTTTTTTTTTTTTTTTTGCAGTTCCTGCAATTATTAGTTTTAGAAAAGCCTGGGAATATTAATGGCAGTGGAAACCACCTCTCATCCCATGAGCAAAGGGACATTTGGGAGGAGAAAAAAATGAAAGCCTGGGCTTTCTCCTCTAACTTTTCTAAGTATAGCAATAAGAGGAAGGTGAGCTCAAGCAGCATCCGTGGGCACAGGGGCTGCTCTCACTGTCCATCAGTGGGTGAGCGCCCCTCCTCCGGGGTGGAGGGTGTTGCTCAGTGTTCCTGCCATGGGGTAGCCATTTTGGGCGCTGGCTTCTGTGTGGAATCCAAGGGAAACATACAATGTACTCCTCTCCCCGTTTAGATGCTGGCCAGAGCAAGTGTCGCCTGGAGAGGGCTCAGGCCTTGGAACAGGCCAAGAAGCCTCAGGAGGCCGTGTTTGTCCCAGAGTGTGGCGAGGATGGCTCCTTTACACAGGTGAGGAGGCCTCAGATGGGTTTCCCGGTCTCTTGCTGGACTGAGGAGAAGGGCGGTGTCCAGAAAGTGCTAGAGTGATTGGGCACCTTCATTTTCTGGGAAAGGGCTGGGTGAGTGGCTCTTCACCCCCTCTGTACTGCCTTTCCCCTCCTGGGCCCTCCATGCTGCTCCTTGCCAACTGGCAGAGGGCCGTGACAAGATGCATGGGAGTCTGAGCCAGGAAACTGGCATGGCTAGGTCTCCGTCCTCCCTGCTGGCTGTCTTTTCTGAGGGCCAGACCTCCATTTTTTTTCTCTTCTGTCCTATGTGGGCTGATTATTTTCTCTTTCCCTTGCCAGTTTCCACAGGCAACCCCTGTATTCCCTTCACTGTTTATCAATATTCACACACACACACACACACACACACACACACACACACACACACACACACACTCCCTCTCTCTCTCCTTGAACGAAGCAGCACCCTCTTTGAGCACAGAGTGTACCACAGCTCCGGACTGTGTGTGTGGCTATGCTCACAAACTGAGGTTTTTAAATACCCTTTCAGTAGCTCCACTTCTGCTCGGTCTTCTGGCTAGGGCTTTTGTGAGAAAGCAGGGAGGATATGTTCCACACGGGCAGGGGTGGGACAGAAGGTGCCTCTGGAGAAAGCTTCTAGACTGCTCCCCAGGGCCCAGGAGATGAGAGGCTTCCGTGAGTCTGGACATGTGGCAGATGCATGAAGATGCTGTTGGGACAAGAGTAGGGAGATGCACAGAACATTGTACGCTTAGGCAGGTTGGGGATTGTCCCCCGTACCTGATCATGTCCCCCCACCCCTCACTCCAGAGTGCTCCTATCCAGTAGAGCAACGTTTAGAGGGAATCTACATTTTCAGGGATGAAGGTGACAACCTCAAGGTTTTGAAAGCCGCTCTGTAATTCTGGATGAGGGGGCCCAGGGTGGCTGTTGGTCAAAGGGTCTTCAGCTTTTACTTCCTGGTGAGGTCTAGGGCATTACTGATTGTGGACCAGTGCCCTCTTGGGTAGTAACAGAGGGATGGTTGGTGGGGGGTTGCAATTCGATGTTGTAAATGTTTCTCAGTTGACTCAAACTTGTAATCAGGCTGGAGAGCAGAGGGATAAAGTGACCTTGGCCATCAGCCCTGGGGGACGTGCTTGTTTTCATTTCCTGTTTAAAGCTTCGCACAGTCATGGGAGGTAGTGCCATTATCTGTATTTACGGAAGATGCATGCATGGTCATGCCTTGTAGTGGACAGTTGGGTTCAAGTCGAGAGCACACCAAAGATCCCTATGTTCTTCTGCTCTCCAAACTGGCAGACTCAAAGGAGGCTCTGAGATGAGCACTAGGAAGACGCAGTCTAGGGCCGTGGTTGGTACACTCTGCATGTTGGGGCTGACCGCCTGGGCTTGAGGCCAACCCACACAGGCAAGTTACCCAGTTTCTCAGGGTGCTTATCTGAAAACAAACAAACAAACAAACAAAAAACCCCAAAACAAAAAACAAATCAGAGGCGATTTTCTTCATGATTGTCATGTTATATATATATATATGTGATTCATTATTGTGATGTCATAGCGTTATATATTACTCTTATGTTATGCATGGCATATTACTATCATTAGTGGTTATTATTTCACTTCCCTTGTAAGGCTGTGATGGGGGTTAGATGAGCTAACCCATGTGAAACTCTTGGGACATATGGGCACCTAAATGATTATCAGCATCTTCGTTGCCGTTCCCATCTCCACTGTGGGTCTCCAACTTAGATCTTCCTAAGGTCTTAGGGGTGGCAGTGGTGCTACTTAAGAGTGGAGGGAGGGAGCCCAGAGCTTTTGGGTGAAACTTCCCAAGCTTGGAGATTCTTGAGCCCTCCCTCTTATGAATTTTTAAGTGTGGTATTTATTCCAGTAAAAAGAATGTGGTGCCCTTTGTGTTTGAAAGTGCAGTTGAGCAGCCATACCCTCAGAGGGGAAATCAGACCTTCCTGAGGGGAAAGGTGATGGGAGGGGGCGCAGCTGAAGGCAGCTGCTTTCTTCCTTCTGCAAGCTCATGCGGTCCTGAATGTGTTGCTTATGAGAGTGGTTGACCTCTGCCCTCCCGATTCTGAAGTGTTTGCTGTCTCATGACAGACAGCCACTGGCCAGCTTTTGTTCTGCGAGGCCAGGCCCGACCAGGTGGTGTTTGCTAAAGGAAAGGAACTTCCAGATTAGTCCAGGCTGACTTGCTAAATGAGAGTGCCCTGAAGTGCAGATTGTCAGGTATCCCTTGCTCCTGTGACAGGCTAAGCGCTGCCATGTGTCCCCAGTTCAGGCCCGATCAGCTTGTGATGGGCAGACAGGCAGCCAGTCAGTAGACCATCTCGGCTCAAATGAATTAAATAGAAGCTTGTGCACCCCCCCCCACCCCAAGCCGACTATCAAAGATGCTGCAGTAACTTCACAGAAGTGCCACTCTGAGTGTGATTCAGTCACTCTGATGAGTGGCCAGAATGCTGTGAGACAGAGTGAGACAGAATGCCTGCCTCCTTCCCCCATGGGCTGTCATCACTCAGTCAGCCTTTTTTTTTTTTTTTTTTTTTTAATCTCCCTAAGGCGCTCAGAGGCAAGCTACATGGCTCTAATATTCCTTAGAATATTGGCATGTGTGCATCCTGGAGTTAGTAGCATTCCTTAGTCCTGGGAATTGCTACTTGGTTGGGATTGGCTTTATCTGGTGTGAGGCACAGCTGGAGGCCACATGACTGAATGAGCTTTAATGAGGCTCATGTGGGGACTTTGCTGGCTTCTTCTTTTTTCTTTGTTCCCCCCATGTCCTCTGTCCTCCCTATACCCAGCCTCAGCTCACACAGGGTTGGCTCATCTTTGTTTGCACTGGAGAGGTTGCTTGTACAACCCCCCAGGTCTCAGTACTTAGGGCAGTCCCAGACCACTAAATCTGAGGCTTTCATCCAGACACAGGTATTTTGTGCGTATGTGTTTATGTGTGGGGCAGGTATACATTTGTGTATGGTTGTATATGTACTTTTTGTGCATATGCATATGCAAACACGTGTATATGGTTGCATATGTACCCATGTACACATGTGTGTATGGTTGCGCATGTACATATGTACGTGTGTGTGCGCACATAGGCCATTGGAAATCTTGGGTATTGTTCCTTTTGGAAACATCCACCTTGGGTTTTGAGGCAGAGCCTCTCACTGGCCTGGAACTCACCAGTTAGCTTAGGCTGGCCTGTAAGCCCATGGACCATCTGCATGTCTCTCTGCCCCTAGAGCACTGGGCTCACAAGGGCATGCCACTGTGTCTAGTCTTTTTATGTGGGTTCTGTGGTCAAATTTAGGACCTTGTGCTTTCAAGGTGGAATCACTTTATTGAGCTCTCTCAGGCATGGTTTCAGTCTTGTCACCCCCCCCCCCAGGGGTGATGTCAGTATTTGTTCAAAAATTCAAACCTATTTTGGAAGGGCTTTGTCTCTCTGATTTCTTGAATGCATCGTTGAGATACTGTGGTTCAGCTCTTTGGGGACCTGGAGTGAAGCCAGTTAATCCAGGCTTTGTCCTTCATAGTAGTGATGTCTATTTCTTCTCTGGATACCAGGGACATAATTCCTAATGTCTGTTCTACCAATGTCTCTGCCAAGTGTTTGTTTACTGCCCAAACTGTTTAGCTGAAATCTTAGCTGTGGTGCCCGGGAGTTGAATGACCACCACCAGGAAGGGGTAGTGGGAGTTTGTCAGGCATCATTCATCACTGGATGACAATGATGGTCACTGTTGAGTGTGCTGGTGCCAGCCAGAGTTTTATTCCCGCTGATTCTACGTACGTCTTAATGCCTTTGTATAAAGAAAAGCTGAGAGTCTGGAGGGGGGTGAGTAGCAGTTTGAGGTCACTGAGCTGGAAGGGGTTTTTACTCTAGCTGATTAACTTTGGGGCTCATGATGTTTTTGTGCAGAAGTGACCCTGATGCATATGCATTTCATTTTCTCCACCGTTGTTATCCCAGAAGTTCCCTCTCTTGTTGCCTAATCAATCAAACACACATTAAAAAAAAACCCCTTTGATTATGGAAATTTTAAAGAAGTACAAAAGAGTAGGCATAATAGAATAATGAGCGCCATGTACCCATCACCTCTTTCAACAATGATTGACACGTGGCCAGTCCTGTTTCATCTTTGCCCCATTTTCGTCTCCCATCCCAAACTGAGTTTCTTCAAAGCAAATCTCCAGACACAATATCTTTTTATCCCAGGCAGGCAGGCGTTTTGAGCTCTACTGTGTTTTGGGCTATGTGCTGGTTGCTATGAGGGATTAAAAAATGTGACCCCTGCCTTATGCAGAATAGATAGCAAGATACTCGACAAAGTAGCTGCTTGAAGACTGCGTGTGCGTAGCTGGAAATTCATGTTTCAAAGCCCACTTATGAGTCTATTGACTAGAACTCAGGATGCATTTTTTTAAACGAGAAAACAAACACAAATATAAATTTTTGATTATAAACACTGTAAGCTGAAAACAAATGATATGCATTAACCTTAATGAAGAAGAAGCTAACCTTGTATAGGTGTCTCTTACAATTTGAAAGGGAATAGAAGCCTAGTAAAATGTACTCAAGAGAAACCAACAAGGAGGACATAGGTGATAAGATGTTAGCCTGTAAGCGAGGCTGGGAATGTAGCATGGTAACACAGCATTTGCTCCCTGCACCAGGCCCTGGGTTCAGTCCCTGGTACCACCAAAGGAAAAAAGGATGAAAATGGCCAATAAATGAATATGAATGATGTAATCTTCTTCTCTACTCGTTAAATTATGTATTAAATTACATAAATCTAGATGATGACGATGGTGTTGGGGAGATGGCTCAGTGAGTAAAACACTTGCCTTAAAGCATGAGGACCTGAGCTTGCTTCCAAGAACCCATGTACAAAGCTGCATGTGACAGGGTGTTTGTGATCCCAGCCCTGGGGAGGAAAAGATGCAAGGATGGCTGGCCAG